AGATTGACTATGGTTGAACAGCTAGGTTGATCAATTTTTTTTCTCGGGAGTGAGGGATAGTTCTTTTAGAAATATTGAAGTCATACTGTGGTTTTTACCTGCCCTTATATGAGTACATATTATGGTTTGAGAGGAAGAGTTACAGAGCGTTGAGGTTCATCAGGCCGATAGGTACAGTTTTACGCGATATCTCAGTTTGTATAAATGCTAAAATATATTTTTCTCTTTCGACTTCTTACATCTGATTATGGAAAAGGATCATATACGAGGTGAGTCAATAGTGTGTTCTCCTTTGATATTAGCCAAACCGTCAGATATATGGAAACAAATCGAATACAACAGTTATATGGTTTCATGAGAACTATCACCTTATTGTTTTCATATATATAGGGTGTTCGAATTCCAAGATTTTGTGAGATCTTTTTTCAATGGGACACCCTGTATATTATCGCATTTTCAGGTTCTCCCTAGCGGGAATAATTACAGAGATATAGGGTGTTCAAAAACAAACAATTTCAATTTTAGAGTTTTTTTGTGTCGAAACTATTAATATCGGTCAGAACGGCTCACATGTCCCTATCTTAACCTTTGATTCCCTATCTACTGACATTTAATTGAAGAAAAATACAGGGTGGTTCAAGATTGAGAATTCTGATCACCCTGTATCTGTATTGATGGTGGGAGTCTTTTTTAAGATTTTAGAATCATGTCGTATGTTGATATTTTGCTATCGCCTATTATAAACGTTCGGGATATCTTTAGGAACTCGCACCAAGAATTTCTCGTTCGTGATACCCCCGGGATGACTTGAAGAACTCACAATAAGAATTTCTGATTCAAATTACGTTCGGGTCAAATGAACGAACTCGCAGTGAGAATATCGATCTCGTTTATACTATATACGTGATAGCATCAGAAACTCTCAACAAGAATATCTTGTTCAGGTTACGTTCCAGCTAGCTTAAGGAACTCGCAATAAGAATTTTCAATTCAGGTTAATTTCGTAAGAACTTCGGGAATTCGTTGTGGAAATGAAATCGATAACTGAAAGGTGAGGTTTGAAAGATTTCTACATGGGAGTTCAATAAGAAGAAATTCGCTTAGTTACTGCACATAGCGATCTTTACTACCTCACGATAAGAGTTCGCATATGATCCTAACGCTGAGATCTCGCGGAGCGGTTTGTGTTACCTGGGAATATTGATCAATCTATACAGGGTTACCCATACTTGATGATACATAGTTAAAACTCAGATTTCTTTGGTGAAAATATTTGTGATTTGGCCACACTCAAGTCATTTTTGAACTGAGATACATATGTTATGTTATGTTTTTGAGTGCGATTTTTTTGGACCGAAAAATTAGTTTGTTCATAATCATCATGTAGATAGTAGAGGACTCTGAGACACTCTGGGTGCATAAAAATAAGTGTACCTTTTTCCACCTTGGTGTACTTATATGTATGTATATCTGTTTTTATTGAAACATCGACTGTTTGTAGAAATGAAAAATCAATAATGAACACATTTAGGCATATGCAATAACTATATATTACAATATATATAATATATATATATAACAAAACTAAAATGACGTAACATATTCATTGCTCAAAATGATATAAACATACATGACGACCTATGCGACTAATGCCAATAATTCATTATTAGCTACACCTTAAATTACCAAAAATATAATATGCTTATATCTTTATCACATTAATTTAACTAAACTGATGTTCCTAAAATTAGCCAACTCAAAAAAATAGTGTACAAAACACTAATAAAATACCAGAATGCACGCACTTTGAAATAAGTACAGAGAAATATAATCTGCCACACTATGATTTGCCAGTGCTTAAATAGAGAATAATTAATATAATTGTCACTGGGAAGTCATTCAATATTTCGAAATTTTCAATAAAAAAATGTTGCTAGAAGCTAAAAAAATTTTGTGCAAGACTTATTATGACTGTACAACAGGAAGATGTGTAATCTGCACAGTAACATGTCGTTTCAGGAATCAATTGTACATATCTCTAATAGTTGCCATAAGCGAAGTTTACAGAATGTATACCATGTAATGCTGTTAGATGCAAAATCTTGCGGAGGTGACCAGGAATTACATCAAGCCGAACGTACGTCAGTTCAAAGTCATCCGGTTTCGAGTTGAAACATCACACCAAACAGCCAGTGACAAATAAAAAAAATGTCAGTATACGTCCGTAAAGAGTCTCTGTACAGGCCGTTGCTATAGAGAAACCCTGCAAATCCTGTAGAAGGCGTTTCCGAATTAGTTACTTGTGTTGAGTTTTGCGGTACTTTTGAGCTATACAGGCTGGAGAACGCAACTCAGGATTATTCTGAAAAGTTGGTGCCTTGGATAATTAGTTGTGTTCTATCGACTGAATATATTCTCAGCATTGCGACGTTGCCGCTTATATTGAAAAGAAACAACTTCGATTTTCCAAATGGGACACCCTGTATATTATTCCATTTTCAGATTCCTCCTGGAGAGCTGATTTCATTGACCTATAACACTTGGGGTCTAGCAGTAATCATTACAGAGTTATGGGATGTGAAAAATCGAGATATTTCAACTATAGAAATTTTTTGTGTCGAAACTATTCATAATTGGTCAAAACGGTTTTCATGTCCACATTCCAACATTTTATTCACTATCAATTGATATTTAATTGAAATAAAAACAGGGTGGTTCAGAATTAAGATTTTTGATCACCCTGTATTTATTTCAATTAAATATCAAAATATAGTACATGAAAAGTTAAGATAGGGACATGGAAACCGTTTTGATCAATTATGAATAGTTTCGACACAAAAAATTCCTAAACTTGAAAAATCTCGATTTTTCACGCCCTATATCTTTGTTATCATCCCCGCTAGACCCGAAGTGTGATAAATCGATGAAATCAGCTCTTCAGAAAAAATCTGAAAATGGAATGATATACAGGGTCTCATAAAAAAAATCAAAGTTGATGCTACTATTCAATATAAGCGGCAACGTCGCAGATGTGAATATTTCAAGTCGATAGAACACAACTAATTATCCAAGGAACCACATTTTCAAAATAATCCTACATTGCGTTCTCCAGAAACATCTAATGTACTATTCATCGTGAATCAGCCTGTATACAATCAACCATAAATTAAATGCCATCTAAACTCATCGATTGTCGTTCTGTTATCGAAAAAATCGTCATATTTTTGAAGCTGTTGATTAGTTAAAAGGTTTAAAAACAATGAACCGTTTTCCTTGTATGGAGCTTCTTGAAACCCTATAAATTGTCCAGGAAACACGATTTTTCCCGAATTGATCGAATATCATTGACAAATTTGACAAATTTTTCAAAGCAGGTACGTGTTATGCTTGGCCTGATGTATCCCACATGAGCTCCCCTGTCACTCCCGCAAATATTTTAATTTTATACATCCTCAAGGTCTACAGAGGTTTGCTAAATATTTCTGAATTTCAAGGTTGTTTTATTGAAAAAGTGGATTCAGACATGATATGTCATTTTGATTACCTCTCAAATAAGGTTATGACATGATGAAGTGAGCAGACACAAAATCCTGTATCTGCTGACCTCATCATCACTACTACTCCACTTCAAGATACTATGGACTTTTAATTATTCAATCTTCATTTTAAACAACTTGATATGTTTCAAAGCTAATAACTTTTTCGTGTCATTTTTTTTGGATACGCAAAAACTGACATGAATGGGGCAACTTTTTGGTCTTGTGAAGGGAGACAGAAGATTTTTTTCAAGAATGAGTATAAATTGGTATCCATAAATCCAAAACCAAGCCAGAATTAATGGTAGTTTGTTCTGTACATGCTTTGGCCACTGGTTATTTGAATTCTTCAATGAGATAATGCATTGTTATGACAGATGATTACGGGCATATGAACATTTCATTGTCATTTTTAGCTGTGAATGATTGCTCCAGCATGTAATTGTGTCCCAGTTACATTGCCCTTCATAATTTGCATGCATTTTGGTACAGGGTTTTTAAAAATTTGTTGAATCCTATAAAAACTACTTCGAATTATGGTAAATTGATGGCAAATTTGAAGTACTTCCTAGTCCATAAATACAGAGTACCTATATATACGACTTTTAATTTAATGTAGCCTGTGATTTAGTCAAATATTATTTGAAAATGAAACTTGGAACTTCACACAAGCACGATTTTTAAAAATGAAACAATCTTGTTGGCCACTCACTCGTCTGGATATTTTTTGATTGTCTAAGGAAAACAGCAACATGTTCAATGTCTTCGATCAAATAAATTTTAAATTCATATTAAATCCTTCAGTCTTGTTTGTTATCCAACTGAAAAGTCCAATATCAAAACTGCATGTTTTTTTCCATATAACATATTGTTGTGTGACCTGTAGGCAATTTAAAATCAAAATTGTAAAAAGGAAAAAAAAAACAAATTCCAACAAAATTCATAAAATAAAACTAAACAAAAGCAACAAGTGTATTCTGATAACTCCAAATGCAGTATCAGAAGAATGAAAAAACATCAAAATATGCGGAAATAAAAGTACTTGAGCTAAAAAGTCTACTCTTATTGTATAATATATCGATAGTCATTGAAAATTTTTCATTCTGCAGCCCGAAGTTCAAAAAGATAGTTCGAAATATTTTCCAATGTGAACCAATTTCCATTCAAAATGTTCAGGACAGAAAACAGGTTGAGTTTGAAATATCAGTTTCAAACTTGGTATACGACCAATATCAATCATGAACACGCTTGGACTCATTTCATCCCTAATAAAGGATCCAAAACTTGAGCATTACTTGAATATTCATTTTCATTCACATGGGAAGAATTTCAAATTATTTTTTCCATAATTTTCCCTTTTCTATACCACCCAACTTATTGCCAATTCTTGCACTGAAAAATCAAAACTTACGAAAATTTTCATAATAAACAGCCTAATTTGAAAGAAGATGTGAGAGATCTAGACTACGAAGATGTAGAAGGTCCTGGAGATCCATTTCGTTTTTTGCATTTGTGCTTCAGTCCGTCCAAGTAGGTTTGTTGTGATTCTGCTAAAACTTGAGCCATGATTTCCTGATCAAAATCGTCAAAACCTAAAATGATCATCACCCGATGTAGATAAAATGATCTAAGGGGTAAGATCCATATTATTTCAAGTAATATTGACCAAAGAAGAATCAATGGGCTTGTGATAGATTTTAAAAGAGATTTCAATCTAATCAGATCTGTGGCAAATTGTGCCAATGCAATGTTCTAAATTGATAAAAGTCGAACGTCCAATCCGGCATCCAGAATCAACTTTATTGACGTTAAATGTTAGCTGAGTTGTTGAAAATTCGTACTCAAATCGTTCAATTAAAATATACCAGTTTCAAGAAGTCAATAGTCAATGATCAAAAGTAATGCCCATTTCATTGTATCAATGAATTGCATTCAATTTCTCAATGTTAGTGGTACCTTGCAAGACCAAACCACATACTATGGGACTAAACATCCGGCAAATATTTTTTGGTGCCACTGCAACTAATAAAGAGACCAGAAACAAGTGATATGCATCAATGTTTAGTTATTATTATTGATTAAATCAACGTTAATTCTAGCACATAGCACATCGATCATCTGTATGAAGAAACTCTTATCCAGTTGATATTGAAGGCAATAATTCATCAACGTTTATATACAAATAGTTTCTGTAAAGTGTTAAGACTCTGGAATTATTTCACTTGCCTAAATTCATCAAAAATATGTAGACAAATTATTATATTAAAAACATAATTACCAATATTGTCAACAATGTTGGAAGGGCCAGCCTGTTGATTGAAGTCGGGCGAGAAATTTTTCTCATTGAAATTCATAGTTTCAGCTTCCACAATTCTTCTAGGTGAATTATAGAGGCGCTTGGCGAGGGCTTCCTCTTCTTTCGTAGGAACATATGGCGGAGGCACATTTTCCACATTGAAGCAATCAGGAATCAATGAGTTCGAACCAAATGATGTCCTTGGACTCGCTATGTAATTGAAAAAATAACTCAGTCTGTTACAATCAAACTAAATTGGTCTAGACATCTACAAGCTTCCTTAAATGAAATTTCACTCAGCATTATCATTTGAAGTTATATGGAATTTTAGGCCCTTCAAATTTGATGTGATTTCACAACAAGAATACGGAAGAATATTGGTGATGAGTGTGCCTAATTTGAAGAGTATCAGGAAGTAACAAAAAAACGTCGGAAGATCGTGTTGTATAATTCCAAAATGAAAGTCATCTTTCGAGTTTTTTGCCCTCCATTTTCGGACAAAGTGGACTATGACACTTACCGAGCGGAGAGAAGTTATTTTTCGGGGACATAGACCCTTTCGGCGACTGGCCCCCTTTAGGTGACATCGAGCCACGCCTGGAAGTCCTAGGGCTGGATATCATAGACGAGGTGACAGTCGAGCTGCTTCCGCTCGCCAAGGAATGCCCTTCTGCCTTCAAGCGTTTCTCTGTGTCCCGGAAATATTGGATGTACGACTCGCGTGCTACTTGCTCTTCGATAGCTTCGTTCGTCGCTTCCCAGTCGGTAGCCTTGATTTTGTCTTCCAGCATTGTCTATAGAAATCAGAAGATTACGAGAAGCTGGGAATCACATAATGTATCCATATCCCGAGTCCTTCTCAGTTATAGTCTTCACAAAGTCACTTGAGACAAATTTAGCAAAAAACAACGCCGGCGGCCCGCGGTCCCATTGAACTTTTCAAAGGGACCGGCGACCGCGGCGAATCTTTCTTGATCAAACTGTCTTGAGTGTCTTACGTTACAACTTAAAACATGAGACATTGTCTGACAAATTCATCAAAAAACTGCTTGGATGTAAAACTACAATATTCTATTTGAGAATTGGGAAACCATCGACCCATGAAGATTCAAATCTACTATTGGAAAAATCATCAAGACACTATTTCTACTCAGTGAATGGTCTCTTTATCAGAGGTTTGGAGAAAATTCGTTTCTTTAGTATCTGGAGAACCTATTGATCTGATTATTTTAAACTACAAGTGGCTTATTTTTCAGATATGAAATATGTCTTGTGAAGTAATTTTATTTGCCCTAATAATCAAGTGGCGCCCTGAAGAAAGATGATTCAATAGGATAATGAAAAATTGAGCACCTCCCTGTTTTTTCAGTTCATTTTTTCCATCAGTGATTAGCAACTGAATACAAACTGAGGTATAGAATAATTTGATGACAACCATCTGTCCTAATTGTTCAAAACTTCACCTCAGTTTCAATATTACAATTCAACTATATACAGAAGTACTCTTTTCAACTCATGAAAAATGATTAAATACACTAATAATTATACTCAAGATGTCACTTACTTGTTCAATGAGTAATTCTTCACTGGCCCGGACAGCATCATGTAACCGTCTCCTGTCTATATCAACAGGTTTATAGTTTGGCAAACCTAAGCCTACACCAACAGATGGGCTATTTGGATTACTGATGGAGTTGTAGTGGCACATTCTGTGGTAGGAGAGCCTAATAGGTTCATAGGAAGTGATTCTGGGGCCATTGAAGATATTGATTGGTTCTGTAAATTAATTCCTTGTTAATGCAAACCAAAAGTAGAGGCAAAAACCAAATAGTTCTTTTCACTCACTCAAGATCAAGGAATCAATATTGCAACTCTCACTGAAATTTATAAAATGGTATACCATGAATATGGATTCAGTCTGTTTGAAAGTTTGAAATTCTCTGTATAGTATCACAATGATATTCCATGTGAAAACCTGGATTGTAAATTTTAATGCCAAAGTAAATACATGATATTGCATTTATTTTGTACCCCTGACAAACTTGAAAATTAAATTTGAATCATTATAATATGAATTATGGTTCTCTCAAAAACAATTGTCTTTTGCTGATGCTGAGTATTGAACTAGGATAGTGCTGTCATTTTCTGAAATCACATTTTTTGCATTAAAAAGGTTTTTGGCAGGATTGTATAAGTGATAAGTTTTTTATTGTAGCAAACCATAATTCAAATAAAAATTATTTCCTATTTCCCTATTAATTATCTATTTTCAATTCAACTAGTTTTCTCAACTAGACTTCCTCAAGAGCAGGAATTGTCATTATTTATATAAAGCATGTTGTATATAACAATGTATGTAATTGAATAACTATTGTAGCCATGTGCCTTTTTTTTTATCGCTTGGAGCCCACGAAAGGGAATCCCTATAATGTTCAAAGAACATCGTGCGTTCCTGGGGAGGATAGGGACAGGAGGTAGGTATTGGAATCTTTTTTGAACTTTTGGAGATTATATGTTGTTGGGAATACTTCCACAGGCAATGAATGTTTCACTTCAATAAAGGGCATTCAATATCATGCATATGTAGAGAAAATATTGTTATTCTGAACTAGAACATATACTAAACTTAGAACACCCATTAGACCATTCAGATTTATTTTGGAATTTATAATGAGGAATGAAGTATTTCTCGAGGTATTTCTCTCAAAAAAACCTTGGTGGACCTTTCGATTCATTGTTAATGACATAGATTTACACCTACCTATCTGATAGCAATACACCTCAATAGTTCTATTATAGAGCTCACTCATTGCTTGGATTTCCAAATGGTTTCCATGAACATGCCAAGTACGTTTTCTGGCAACATACTTCTCAAAATCCTCAGTTACATATGGTTCAAAATAATCTTGGTTTTGAACCTACAAAATACAATTAATCAGTACACAAACCTCTCCTTGAAGATTCAATGAAAGAGTAGAAGAAAATAACTTCTGAAATCATTCATTTTACCCACATTGTGTGAGCCACTTCATCTCTGAATATGCATAGTAAGAAATATCTTGAATAATATTTCAATTCTACTTGAAAACTTTTATAGAATACTGAATAACAAGGTATTAATGTTATGTTGTTTTCATACAGTTTGAGTCTATGAAGAGGTGTAAATGAGATTGGTTTCAATAAATGTAACTTACAATGTAGTTCATGCAATCTTGACGCACTTGAAAATGGAACTCTTGATCTCCATAGACTTGATCAGCAATAGAACGAAATAGACAAGCTCCATCTTCATTCATATTTTTAATTTCAAACCCTAAATTTGACATACAGCGAGAAAAAAGAGCATCTCTCTGTAAGGAAAATTGTATCTCAAACAGTCAGATCATACAATAGATATAGAAAATAATATTGAATTTGGTGAATAGCTTTCCAGATGTACCTTTTGCCACTCCTCAGCAGTGAGGTGTCTATCCTTGAAATAGCTCTCATCATACTCATCTTCACTATTGAATCCAGTACAGTCTTCTTTAATCTCTTTTTCATTATTATTACCTGATGTTTCAGTTGAAGCTTTATCTGCAGGTGATGTTATAGTGTTGTTTTCATGCAAGGGTTCAGAAATAATCTCACGTTTGTTGAGTACTGTTCTATCTCTCTTTTGTTCCCTTCTTACCTCCCGCTTTTGTTCTCTAACACTTTCTCTATCTCTGGGTCTATCAGATTCTTTGTATCTTTTACGAAATCTTTCCTTTCTATCACTTTTGCTGTTGAATGTAAAATTAAGGTGACATCTTGGTCAATCATGAGTTTATTCAAAAGGAAAGAGTACTTACTAAGGAAACGGTGACCGTCTGGCATTAGTACTATTTTCACAAAGTGACTGTTTCTGGATGGAACTAATGTCATTTCTTCTAGTTGATCTCTCAGTAGGGGCCTAAAAAGTTGTTGAATGGTGTGTTATTTGTTGAAATTAATGAAAATATGTGTATTTTGTGGAACCAATACAGTTTATCTATTTATAGACATCCATCATGAATTCTATGGAGATATTGGAGATAAATAATGTGTGGTAGTGAACAATGTGAACATACATTCTGATTTGTATCAGTGCTTTCTTCTGTGTTTCCTTGAGATTTCCGAATTGTAGGGAGAATAGTCATTGTCCAATATTAGTTATCACTATTGTCCAGTCCGAATATTGAGAATTTATCAGATATTTCTAGAAAATGTATAGAGACCTTCAACACACATCAATTTTATAAAACTAACGTCATATGTCATATACTCATCCTAACGTCATAGTCAACTTTGAGTTTGTCAATGTCAAAGTCCACGAATTCAATCTGAATACTGAGTGATGCAAAGAGGCAGGCCGCAACAAATAATCCGTAATTATCCAAACGGAAGGGAATGCCAAGGATGATTGAATGGAATGAAAATATGAATATTGTGATTTTATACATAGGAGCGGAAAAAGGAGAATGTTCCAAAAATGCCTTGAATCCAAAATGTAGTACCACCGCACCAAACAGATTTAAATGTACCACATTTGGTAGTTTGGTACACTGTTTAATCTATGGTACACTGATTGTGATGTGATGAATGATGAATCATGATAAAAATATTATGGACAGACAAACAACATAATGCCTACTCATCGACTCATCGTATTTGATGGAACGAATTGTGAATGTACTAAAATATGGAAGTGCAGAGAGCAATCGACAAAAAACTCGAATGCAGAAAAGGACATGAAAATAATTGAAATTTCAGGAAGTAGAGATTAGTCAACCACAGAGTTGACTAATCTGTGGTAGGAAGATATCCGAAAGAGCTGGCAACGTGGAGAAAGAACTGCTGTCACAAGATTCTCAGTTACAAAAATGCAGTCTCTGTGCAAGGTCTCTGTGAGGTATCCAAGGTTGGTAAAGTTTCCTACTCTGCTGCAGCCCAGTGGTGAAAAGCTAAACCATTACCGTGCTGATGCTAAACACCATTTTTCTTTAACAGATTTCTTTAATATTCTATATAAAGTGAATGTCGAGTTTAGTAATACAGGATGTCCCAAAATAAATTCACATCACAATCATTATTTCAGAAGCGGCGTCTACTGAAAAATAGGTTCACATTAACTTGAACATGGCTTCAAGAAAACCTGAAAATGGAAAACTATGACTAATTTTTTTTTGATTTTTGCAATTTTATATAGGTAGCTGGAGACTTTTATAATGCATGATAATGCTCAATGGAAAGAATGTGTTTTTAGGAAACTTCTTTCCTGGATTAGTAGAATAAACGAATATTTCAAATTTCATTATTGGTATACGTACAGTCAGATGCACAGATCATGTCGCGGTTGGATGGTGTGAGAGCTCTCATTGCAAAAGCGTTGATTGATATATTATGCTCAAGCGTAATATATCAGTCAACGTCAAAAGTGACTAGAAACAATAGTCCTCTCAGATACGTTTCAACTGTTCTAGATCTAGGGGTCACTTTTGATGAACAAATGAAATTTGTAAATCACATAAACACCATTTCAGTTGAGTAAATCATCAAACATTTTAGGAATGCTTATACGTAATTGCTCTGAATTCTCAGTGGATTCTATAAGGAAGGTCTATATATGTCATTGGTCATTTCTAAACTGACTTATGCATCTATTGTCTGGTGTCCTCTTTATCAGGTTCATAATATATAGTCATGGAGAGAGTACAGAACAAATTTATGAGGTATTGTGCCTTTAATTCGTTCATGGGAAAACCATCAATATATGCATATTATGAACGAAATAAACTTAATTCCATTGCGTAGTAGAAGACTCAAGTTAGATTTATGTTTTATTTTTAAATTATTGAATGGTGCTGTGAACTGCCCGGAACTACTGGAGTTAATTACGTTTGATGTCTCAAATAGAGTCCTTAGATTTCCACATTTATTTCAAATACCCATTTCATGTCACAATTTATGGACAGCATAATCCAATAGAAAGGACATTAAGATTCATAAATAACAGTAATTTAGATGTATTAGGATGTTCATTTAATAAGTTTAAGATGTCTTTGCGTGATAGTTTATGGCCTATTGGATCGTTCCATGGTTTCATTTTTCTCAATTCCTTATCGAAATTGTTAAGTGAGTAGGTACCTATATGTGTTGAGACACTGTGCATATTTATTATATTCATTTTCTAATTACATTCATTTTATTATATTCATTATATTCTTATATTCAGTATATACTGTATTCAAACTTGTAATATAGGGGTTTCCCATAAATAAATAAAAAATAAAAATATATGTGCCATCACCGCCCTTGTGCGACCTATTTCACCCATTCATTGCATCAGACTGTGACTGTACCTAGAGCTGGTCTTACTCATTTTGGATGTTATGTGTGAGGAGTTCTTTTATAGAAATTTTGCTAAACTGCTTCGAAATTTCACGCAAAAATGTACCTACTTACACAGACACACACAAAGTGTCTCATATGGAATAAGAATAGAATATACATAAGCTTTCCGATGCCTGTATACTCCAAATTGAATAACTAATTAGAAATTCTATTGGCAATATGTAGTTCAACTTGAAATTCAGAAAGCTCTGGTATATAGAGCAGACTGACAAAATAAGGGGACTCTATTTATTAATGCACATACTTCCAATAGTACATCACAACTTGAGAACTGAGGGAAAATGTTTGATATTCCAAGAAGATAGATGTTAGTGTTTTTTTGAAATTTGGGACACTGCCATTCTATGTGAACACTGACCCCTCCTCTATCGTCTACACTACCACACTACGAGTCAAAAATGGTTCCAGGAATCCATAAGCGCCCATACATACAGGGTGTAAATTTGAAAACTTTCAATGCGAATATCTCGCGAAAGAAAAAAGTTAGAAAAACGCCGTTTGGCAAAATGCTAAAGAGTTAAGGGGAACTAGAACCACCATATTTCGGTCAAGGGATGAGTCACCCCGTCGGCGCGACACACCCCAACTTTGAAATGTCAAATGGCACTACCTTTTTTGTGATGCCTCAAATGAACAGTCTCAGTCAGTAGTATTCACCTGTACAAGACTTTTTTTCCACCCACTACAGGGTGTACGAATAATATAAAGTCGAATAAAATAAAATGAATTGTATTAAAAGAATATTTTATTTGATCAGATGTTCAAAATGCATTCCATTCTGTTGTAAGCAATAGTATAATCGATGTTCAAATGCCATTCTAACATTCTGGAACACATCTCTTGGAATATATCGGCATTCTGCATTTTATTTTATTCGACTTTATGTTTTCCGTTCACCCTGTAGTGGGTGGAAAATAAGTCTTGTACAGGTGAATACTACTGACTGAGACCGTTCATTTGAGGTATCACGAAAAAGGTAGTGCCATTTGACATTTCAAAGATGGAGTGTGTCGCGCCGACGGGGCGACTCATCCCTTTACTGAAGTATGGTGGTTCTAGTTCCCCCTAACTCTGTAGCATTCGTGCCAAACGGCGTTTTCCCAACTGTTTCATTTAGCGAGATATTCGCATTGAAAGTTTTCAAATTTAGACCCTCGAATTAAAGTTTTTCGTACACCCTGTAGTGGGTGGAAAAAAAGTCTTGTACAGGTGAATACTACTGACTGAGACCTTTCATTTGAGGTATCACAAAAGAGGTAGTGCCATTTGACATTTCAAAGTTGGGGTGTGTTGCGCTGACAGGGTGACTCATCCCTTCACTGAAATATGGTGATTCTAGTTCCCCTTAACTCTTTAGCATTTTTGCCAAGCAGCGTTTTTCTAACTTTTTTATTTCGCGAGACATTCGCATTGAAAGTTTTCAAATTTACACCCTGTATATGCGGGTTACATTGTCATTATACAGTGTGTCCCACTTACCATGCTCACCATGGGTATCTTTTTAACGATGAGAGATACGAGGTCGGTTAAATGACACCAAATGTGGAGTTTGTCAAGGCCAACTATAATGTGAAAAAATATTTTGATAAAATCTATTCGTTTTTGTTTTAATCGCAAAAAACAGATTTTGATCATTTTCATGGCTCCTTCGTAACTTCTTTATTAATGAAAATATTCAAATAGGAATTTCACATTCTCCTGGCAGTTTTTCAAAGTGATTCCGAAAAAAATATGAAATTTATACCAACTCTTCTAGAATTTGAGATATCAGCACCAACTTTAGTTTTTCAAATGTAGGTCATAGCTCACTATGACTTTATTACAAATAACTTTTTTTTCTCCTACAGATGATATGTCGCAGTAATAGTTTTGTGTTGATAACAACGGAGTTATCGTCATTTATACAAATACAAAAAAATATTTGGAAGCCGCCATCTTGAATTTATTAATTTTAACAAAAAAATCATGATCTTCGACCTCAAAAACCCACACTTAACAATTTTGAATGGAATCGGACCAAATCTTGTCCGCCATCTTGGAGCAGCAATATTTTTTAATTTCAACAAAAATTCCATAATGTATCGTCACCGAAATCATGAACACCTGCCAAATTCCACCTGCCAAGTTAATCGAAGTTATGGAATTTTTGTTGAAATTGAAAAAAATGGCTGCTCCAAGATGGCGGACAAGATCTGGTCCGATTCTATTAAAAATTGGTAAGTGGGGGTTTTCGAGGTCGGAGATCATGTTTTTTTTGTTAAAATTTATAAATTCAAGATGGCGGCTTCCAAATAATTTTTTGTTTTTGTATAAATAACGATAACTCCGTTGTTATCAACACAAAACTATTACTGCGACATATCATCTGAAAGAGAAAAAAAAGTTATTTGTAACTAAGTCATAGTGAGCTATGACCTACATTTGAAAAACTAAAGTTGGTGCTGATATCTCAAATTCTAGAGGAGTTGGTATAAATTTCATATTTTTTCGAAATCACTTTGAAACACTGCCATGAGAATGAGAAATTGCCATTTGAATATTTTCATAAATAAAGAAGTTACGGAGGAGACATGAAAATGATCAAAATCTGTTTTTTGCGTATAAAACAAAAACGAATAGATTTTATCAAAATATTTTTTCACATTATAGTTGGCCTTGACAAACTCCACATTTGGTGTCATTTAACCGACCTCGTATCTCTCACCGTTAAAAAGATACCCATGGTGAGCATGGTAAGTGGGACACA